GCAGAGTCTGGGACATGATTAAAGTCGTAGGGAAATATTTAAATGTCAAACGCTGTGCAGCGTCTTCCCAGTGGACAGCAGGGAGAACAGTCCATGGTGGGGGATGAGGGACAGGGGTGGTTTTAGGAAATGTGGGGCCCTAGGCAAAGACAGGCAGGGGGCCCTCTGAATGGAGAAGTCAACACATCAAACAGACCCATTCTAAAGATCCATCCATCCATCCATCCATCCATCCATCCATCATCCATCCATCCATCATCCATCATCTTCCTCTTATCCAGGGTCGGGTCACGGGGGTAGAGGCATCAGGAGGGAGGCCCCTGTCTCTAAAGGAATGAAAGATTTTTTCCAAGCACTAAGCTCACTTAGCTGATTGCTCCTTCCTGTGTTTCCAAAAAGGCCAAAGTAAATAACCCAGTCCTTCTTTTCACTGTAGACAAGCCATGATCTGCTTATCTGTTCTCCATTTTTCATTTGGATGAAATGAAACCTGTTGATGAGCAGTGGAGCGTGGTTAGGGCGGTTCTTCCTGAAGTCCGCCATGATCTCCTTGGTCTTCTCCACCTTCAGGATCAGGCTGTTATCTCTGCACCACCAGCTGCTCCACCTCCTCTCTGTAGTCCAGGTTGTTGTCGTCTCTGATGAGGCCCACCACCGTGGTGTCGTCTGCAAACTTCACCATGTGATTGGTGGTGAACCTGGGGACGCAGTCGTGTGTCATCAGGGTGAACGGCAGGGGGCTCAGAACGCAGCCCTGATGGGAGGGGCTTAGACCGATGACATCAGAGGTGTTCTGTCCGACCCGGACTGACTGAGGTCTGTTGGTGAGCAGATATTCTGTAGTTGTTTCTTTCCCTTCCCTGTCTCTACTTCTTCTCTTTCTCTCTATCCTCACACATGAATGACAGGAACTTTCTATCATTTATGGAGGACACATAATGCCGTATAAAATGCACATTTCTAATAAAAAGGTTCTACTTCCGTTGGATATCAGTGACTTACTGAACGCTGCATCAACTTCTACAATTTCTGATTCATCTTGCAGTTAAATAAACACAACCCATTTTTATTATGTTATTGTAAAGGCAGATGGGCAATGAGTGAGCTGTTTGTTATTTCCTCAGCAGATTTGGGCAAAGGTGAAAAAAAACCTCCAACTTTAAGTCAATTGTTTATAGAAAGTGTTCTTCACAGGTTCTTTTCTCCAGCGTGGTGGGGGGGCCTTTGATGTAGAAATAGATGTATTCAAGTAAAAACAAAACAACGTTTGGATTAAAAAGTTAACTTTATGTTTCAGTTATATGTTGGAAAATATTTCTATTTGCAGTTTTACTTTCATTTGTTTAGGATTTGATTTAAAAACTCATTTAGTTTCCCAAAAAACAAACAACACATGTTAAAGGAATAGTACACCCAAAACATGATTAGCCTTCATTTTCTACTCACCTCCATGCTGAACAACACTCTGGAGTACTTTTTTGATATCTCAAATGCATCTGGAGATCTGGGAGGCTTCTTGCTGTCTGCTGACATTCAAATAATGGAGGTCTATGGCGCCCGAGACAGAAAGGTCCATAAAAGTCCACAAAAACGTGTCAATATTCCTCCATACTGCTCGTCCAATGTAATCCAAGTGTCCTGAGTGGGTAGCATCCAGAATTTACTCGAAACGAAGTCATTTAGAATGTTTTTAGAGCATAAACAGTAGTGTATAGGATTTCCTAATAGCGCCCCCATGCGCGCTCACGATTCTACGGAAGCCGGCAGACCAAACCGGAAGGAAGTGCGCATTCAGCGTCTGGTCTGCCGATAATGCAAGCGTAGAAGAAGAAATGTGCCGTTTACCTGTGCAAAGAAAGAAACAACGAAAGAAAAATGTCTGAGGACTTCAGTGTTGAGGAAGAGCATGAGTTCTTTGCCGAGCTGAATGCGCTGGTTTGGTCTGCCGGCTTCCGTAGAATCGTGAGCGCGCATGGGGGCGCTATTAGGAAATCCTATACACTACTGTTTAGGCTCTAAAACGTTCTAAATGACTTCGTTTCGAGTAAATTCTGGATGCTACCCACTCAGGACACTTGGATTACATTGGACGAGCAGTATGGAGGAATATTGACAAGTTTTTGTGGACTTTTGTGGACCTTTCTGTCTCGGGCGCCATAGACCTCCATTATTTGAATGTCAGCAGACAGCAAGAAGTCTCCCAGATCTCCAGATGCATTTGAGATATCAAAAAAGTACTCCAGAGTGTTGTTCAGCATGGAGGTGAGTAGAAAATGAAGGCTAATCATGTTTTGGGTGTACTATTCCTTTAATAATCCAGAGCAGGGGGGGGATTTACCATTAGGCATTACTAGGCAGTTGTGTAGGGCCCCATGTTCCTGGGGGCCCCATAAAACTCTGTTTGAATGTAGGTTAATATAACCATTCCTTATACCTTGTACTATTAAGTGTGACACACCCCCCCCCCCTTCAGTGAGAAGGTGTGTCCAAACCTTATATATATATATATATATATGTATATATATATATATATATATATATATATATATATATATATATAAGGTTATATATATATATATATATATATATATATATATATATATATATATATATATAAAACATCACATTAATGTGGCTCTTGCTACATGCTCCGGTCCAGTAGGTGGCGGTATGCACCTAAAAGTAAATGTTGCAATCTAAACTAATTGAAGGTTTGCCTCAGTGGAGAAGGAGCTTCCAGCTGAGGAGAGAGTTTCCAGCGTCAGCATGAGAGCTACTGCGGCTTCCGTATGGCTGCTCTGGATGATCTGCAGCTGTTTTATTAAGGAAACGGCGGCTGGGGGCCAGCTGGATGGTTTGGAGATACAAACCTCCATAAGTTAAATAGCCTTCAACATCAGGCTTTAAGAATATGTACAGGCGCTTTTAGAACTTCTTCAACAGCAGCATTACAGGTTGAAATGGGAGAAATGCCACTTAAAGTTAGAAGAGATCAATTATCTTTAACCTACTGGTCAAATTTACAGGGACAAAGGAAGGATCATCCAACATTAGAGGTGCTTAAACCTGGATGGGAAAAGGAAAAGAAACAATTAAAGAGCTTTGGATGGGTAATAAACACTAAAGTTAATGAAATTAATTTAAATCAGTTAGATATATGTCAGACAGTTCCAATAACAGCAATTCCACCTTGGATACTTCCTGATGCTAAAGTTGATCTCTCATTATTAGAAAAGAAGGAAAAAGATACATTTCATGTTATGAATAAATATATAGTACAAGAACACTTAAATAACTATTATAATTATATACAAATATATACAGATGCATCAAAAAATACTGCTAATAGGGTAGGGATAGCATTTATTATACCACAGTTTCATATTAATGTTGGAAAAAGGATTAGTGATGGAGTTTCAGTATATACCGGTGAAATGCTAGCTTTGCTTTTAGCAGTTCAATGGGTGGAAGAGGTAAGACCATTAAAATCTATCATTTGCTCAGATTCCAGTTCGTCATTAGTCAGTTTGCAAAATAATCAGTCAGTCAGTAGACCAGATATATTACTTGAAATACAACAAACACTTTACAGAATAAATATGATGGGGCTAGTGGTAAATTTTGTTTGGGTTCCGGCACATAACGAGATAAAAGGAAATGAAAGGGCAGACAGGATGGCTAAGGAGAGTACCAATAAGTTAAGGGTAGACATTAATGTTAGTTTTGGTATAACAGAAATAAAGGGTATAATTAAACAAAAAGCAAAAGAGAGGTGGCAAAAGTTATGGAATTAAGAAAAGAAAGGAAGGTGGCTTTATAAAATACAAAAGAGAATTGGACCAATGAGAAGATCAGAAAGGAACAGGAGAGAAGAGATTATTATTTCTCGACTTAGAATAGGACACACTGGATTGAATAGATCGTTATTTTTGATAGGGAAACATCAGACAGGGAAATGTGACTGTGGGGAAGATGAGACTGTGGAACATGTCATTTTAAATTGTAGTAAATATTCTATACAGAGAAACAGGTTAATAAGGAAACTTAGTGACATGAAAATGAAACTTGACATTGTCGATTTATTGCAGAAGGAATCAGGAAGCAGAGGATATCGGGTTATATTTGAATTTTTGAAACAGATTAGGTTGTATAATAGGGTATAGTTTTATTTTATTTTTTTATTTTATTTTTTATTTTTTTTCTGCCATGTAGTCCGCACTCCATACCAGTTGGTGGCGGTAATGCTCACCTAGCGTTTTTTGCCAACCGCCAATAAAAATCAATAAGAAGAAGAAGAAACTAATTGAAGAAGAAGAACACCAACGAAGAAGAAGAAGGGGAAAAGAAGCTAAAATAAAATGCTGTAATTGTGGTGGAGAACATACTGCTGCCTATCGCGGCTGTGAAGCAAGCAAAAGGTCTGAGGAAATTAAAAAAATGAAATTTGAGCTCGGAATAACCTACGCTGAAGCTGCAAAAAGGATCCCATCTCAGTCAGAAAAACCCAAACCTACAGTTCAACACACAGCAAATTCCAAACCTCTAGAGAAATCTCTAAAAATTGATGAAGACTCACTTATTGTTAAAAAGACAAATTTTGTTCTTTTCATGGTAGAAGTTATTAATTGTACTGCACAGACAACAAAAAAAACGGAAAAAATCAAAATAATAGTGAAGGCTGCAGAAAAATATCTGGACATTAAAGATTTGAACTGGGAGATGGTTGGAAGTATGATGGGAGGACCGATGGGACCATCAGAAACTGGCAGAGTTAAGATGACCTAGAGTAAATTAAAATTATATGGGCAAATGTGATTTAGTATTATGTTGGTTTAAGTTACACAGGTTTTTTTTTTTTTTTTTTTTTTTTTTTTTTTTTTTTTTTGGGGGGGTGAATCGTTTCCTGTTTTCTTGCTTTACTCCATATCAGTTGGTGGCGGTAATGCACAATTCACAAGTCTGCCAACCGCCATAAAATCCCATAAGAAGAAGAAGAAGAAGAAGAAGAAGGAGGAGGAAAAAGAAGGCGAAGAAGAAGAACAAGAAGAAGAAGCCCTTCTGACAGTCCAAAAAATGGCGGATGCATGCGGACAGATCCTGGTGGGATCAGGACTCACCGTCCTCTCTCACCCACTGATGTACATCAAAGTCCTCATCCAGGTCAGTAGGCCTCATTTCCGGGTCCATGTGTCCCTCAGGTCCGGGTGTCCCTCAGGTCCTTGTGTCCCTCAGGTGTTTCTGACAGGTAAAGCCGTCAGCTCATGTTGGGGTCGGCAGGTAGAGGTAAGCTTTGATGACATCATGTCGGCGTCTGTTTGATCCAACCTGACAGCGGAGCTTTGATGTCTGCGTCACCTTCTGCTGTCCAACTGGGTTTCCTGCCGAACCGCGGCTCCGGGTTCGGAGTTCCCTCTGGTTCCGGAGCTTTCTGCGGGTTCTGAGTGACCCGGCAGGCCGTGTCAATGCTTCGGAACCGAACCGCCTGGTTGTGGGTTAAATGAGCTAAGCTAAGCTAAGCCCGGAGCAGGGCGCTAACAGCGTGTCTGTGTCCCCGTGGACAGGTTGGACACGAGCCGCTGCCTCCCGCGCTGGGCAGGAACCTGTTCGGCAGACCGGTCCAGCAGCTGCCCGGCCTGTTCGCTTACGGTAAGACCAGAACCCCGGTCCGGTTCGGTCCATCTGTGGTCCTGAATGCAGCCTTTAGCATCAGTGCTAAGCTTCGGTGCTTTTATATGAAACCAAACATTTCTGCCTCTTCATGGTAAAAAGTTCCCTAACTGTGGCCCTGCTGTGGGGATGGAGTATCAGAACATTTCCAAGATCCACAAAAATCATTTCAGTTACATTTATCAGTTTAAAATGACAGATTTAGAAGAATAAACACGAAAATTTACCCAATTAAAATGTGCAAATATAAGAAAAGTAGCGAATCTGCCAGATTTAAAGGAACATTCCAGGCAGTAGGGAAAACATTTTATACCTAAAACTAAAATGTTCGCAGTGATTTAATGAATTTAGCCTTAATCAGTAAAAAAAATAAAAACAATAAAGGAACATTTTTCTACAGTTCTGGATGATAACTTCCTTAGACTTCATTTTCTCAGGTTTATAACTAATGGTAACAGAGTCACATTTAACTTTGTATCATCTGGAAAAAAAAATTATTTTAGTTTGTGGCGAGCAACAAGTTGGGGCAGCACCGAGCCCAACCACAAAGAAATGAATTGTCTGAATGAAACTGATAATTTTGATGGTTTTTAGTTTTTAATACCAACAGGCCAGAATGAAAATGAGCTTAAATGAAATGAAACTAACAAGTTTATTTTTAACAATAGAAGGAGTAGAAGGAAAAAGTTGTATAAAAGATAATTACTGCAGTAAAGAATAGATGGCCAACATTTTTACTGAGGTAAAGTAACAAAGTATTTTCTTCACGCCTTTGGTTACAGTCTTGTCCAACATGGGAGCTCATGTGGCTCAGGAAACCCAGGATACATCAAATAAAGCTTTAAAGGGAAAGTCCGCTCAGCGAGGAATAATCAGTGGATCCTTATTTATACCTAAAGCTAATACGTTCACAGTGATTTAAGGAATTTAGTGTTTTCAGGGAGCGGCATTTTTGCCCACATATAGTAACCCCTCCCTCCTGCCATCTTCCAGCAGTGACGTCACGGTGCGGTAAGCCTAGCGCCATTCTCCCTGCTTTACAAGCTAAATCAATGGGAACTACTAGACACATCTGCAATCAACAACAATTATTGAAGATTTCTAGAGGACTTCACCATTGAAATTCACCAGAGCTATAGTGAAACTGACAATGCCCACGTGCAAGGCAGCTGGATGTTGGAATACATCGGGTAAAAGTAGAAAAAAATAGTTATTCCTCCACGGACGGGTTGGCCGTTGGATCGCCAACTTGAAGAGGGAGGATTTGCCATTGAACTTCTGGCCAGAGAAAAAACCCGTAATATGTAGCCAACATTTGGAAGAAGAATGTTTTCAAGATGACTTGGATAATAGCGCGTTGCGACAAACACCAGATACAGCACTGGGACTTGATCAACAGCCGATACCGCACCGTGACGTCACAAACCAGTAGGTGGCAGTAGTGTTCTTTGACAAACATGGATGCCTCCACTAAAGCACATTCACATGAAAATTACTCTGAATTAAAAACACTGATAATTTATTGAACAGGATGAAATCATTTCAGATTTAAAGAACTTTCAGAAGTTTGAATTCTGAATATGAGCGACTTTTCCTTTAAAATGTGCAAATATAAGAGGAAAAAGTAGCAAATATGTTAGAGTTAAACAGTAGAAGAACCACGCCAGATTATGTTAAAGTATTCTGAATGCAAATGCATCATTAATGGGGCTTCAGAGATGGAAGTGGTACAACGGCCTCCTCATGGGAGTTTATAAAGATAAAATGTAATCATACTACAGATTTGCATGTTTATCTCATAAATTTGCTAAATTTGTCTTCTAAACTTGCATTTATTCCTTGTAAATTTTCGTGTTCTTTTAAAAATGCCACTTAAAACTCAAAAATTAAAATTCTATTTTTTTTTCTGTCCCTAATACGTTTCCCTAATACATTGTTACTGTGTAATCAGGAGTTTAATTAGATATTTCGTTCACTGTGTATAGGCTGGTTTGTTAATTAAAGCAAAAAGTAAAGCTTTTATTTTATTTCTGCTCCAAATTAAAGTTGTTCAGTATTATCAGATGATGAACGTGATGCATGGGCTGATGCTCATTGGGTTGGTGCATCTCTGGAACCACATTATTACTGATTTTATTTTTGCATGTTCTGGGTCATAAAATCTGTTCACCTACTTGGCAAATGAGTCCAGCTGTTAAACAGATGTTTTTTTTATAGTATATTTTTGGATGATTTCTACATCAGATGTTTATCCACACCTTTAAAATGCAGACTACATCTAAACAATCAGTAATGCTGAAAAGTTTTATTTCCTTTCTGTATATGATGATGGTTTACAGATGATCACATTAAGTACTTTGAAGATGAGGTATATTACATGATCATCTAATCCAGAAACAGGAGCTTCTGGTTGCTTACAGCTTCAATAGAAACACAAACGATATATTCCTATGAAGGGTTAACAGCTGCCACCTTGAATCTGTGGCTTAAAAATGGGCAGAGAAAAGAGATTTTCCACCTTCATCAAATTAAAACAGCTCAGCTGTCTTTTTGTTTTTCTCCTTATGGTTTCTCAACCTTTCTAAAATCTTTTCTAGTTCCCAATAACACTTTTTTTATGATGCAGCAAAACACATAATCAAAATTGATGGGAAAACTGGTCTCTACAAAGGACTGGTTCCACGGCTCTGTGCTGGAGCCCTCGGCACAGTGGTCCACAGCAAGGCTCTGCAGGTAGGTGTGTTCTAATCGATTATCAGATTAAATGAAAAGTTTATTTTATTTTATGTGCTTTCTTAATTGCCATCTTATCAGCTCCATGTCTGCAGATTGTGCGTCATCCATTCCATCTGTTTGCTGATCAGGCTGTGAAATTCTTTTAATAATGATACTTCCTGTTCTTACAGAAATGCCAGGAAAAGGACTTTCCTCAGGTGAGACTGTTCTGCTGATAAATGGCCCTGCTACTGGCTGCTGGTCACTACTGTGAGGCTATGTTAGCATGGTAGCCTCAGACAGGTCACTAAGAGGCTATGATAGCATGGTAGCCTCAGACAGGTCGCTACCGAGAGGCTACGTTAGCATGGTAGCCTCAGACAGGTCGCTACCGAGAGGCTACGATAGCATGGTAGCCTCAGACAGGTCACTACCGAGAGGCTATGATAGGATGGTAGCCTCAGACAGGTCACTGAGAGGCTATGTTAGCATGGTAGCCTCAGACAGGTCACTACCGAGAGGCTATGATAGGATGGTAGCCTCAGACAGGTCACTACCGAGAGGCTATGATAGGATGGTAGCCTCAGACAGGTCACTGAGAGGCTATGTTAGCATGGTAGCCTCAGACAGGTCACTACCGAGAGGCTATGTTAGCATGGTAGCCTCAGACAGGTCACTACCGAGAGGCTACGTTAGCATGGTAGCCTCAGACAGGTCACTACCGAGAGGCTATGATAGGATGGTAGCCTCAGACAGGTCACTACCGAGAGGCTATGTTAGCATGGTAGCCTCAGACAGGTCACTACCGAGAGGCTATGTTAGCATGGTAGCCTCAGACAGGTCACTACCGAGAGGCTATGATAGGATGGTAGCCTCAGACAGGTCACTGAGAGGCTATGTTAGCATGGTAGCCTCAGACAGGTCACTACCGAGAGGCTATGTTAGCATGGTAGCCTCAGACAGGTCACTACCGAGAGGCTATGTTAGCATGGTAGCCTCAGACAGGTCACTACCGAGAGGCTATGATAGGATGGTAGCCTCAGACAGGTCACTGAGAGGCTATGTTAGCATGGTAGCCTCAGACAGGTCACTACCGAGAGGCTATGTTAGCATGGTAGCCTCAGACAGGTCACTACCGAGAGGCTACGTTAGCATGGTAGCCTCAGACAGGTCACTACCGAGAGGCTATGATAGGATGGTAGCCTCAGACAGGTCACTGAGAGGCTATGTTAGCATGGTAGCCTCAGACAGGTCGCTACCGAGAGGCTACGTTGGCATGGTAGCCTCAGACAGGTCACTACCGAGAGGCTATGATAGCATGGTAGCCTCAGACAGGTCACTGAGAGGCTATGTTAGCATGGTAGCCTCAGACAGGTCGCTACCGAGAGGCTACGTTGGCATGGTAGCCTCAGACAGGTCCCTACCGAGAGGCTATGTTGGCATGGTAACCTCAGACAGGTCGCTACCGAGAGGCTATGTTGGCATGGTAACCTCAGACAGGTCGCTACCGAGAGGCTACATTATCTCTTTTCAAAGGAAAATGATTGGGATGTGATTAAATCAAGAGAGCATAAAGGATTTCTTTGGGTTTATCTTAGTTTTTAACAGTCTTTGCAGGTCAGTATTATTTACCTAGCCTCTGATCTGGATAGATCCCTGTAACATAGATGCTCAGTTGTTGTATCTGTTTTTGTCTCTGATGTGCAGGTAGTCGGGGGGCAGCAGAAAGCAGAGGAGGGTTCTCTTCTTCACGTTGTTAATGAGGTAAGACCCTTACTGCCTCTTCCACTGAATTGTTTCTTCTTCCTATTCCTCCGTTCCCGTCAGTCTGCTCCTTGTTCTCTACCAGCCTTAATGTCAGGTTCACAGCTTCCAGTGTTGATTTGGAAGGCCCCGTCATCTCAGCCACATGAACCAGCTGTGTTAGCTTCCTCATTTATCAGCTGAGTCACGGGACACACCCCCAATTGTCTGCGCTGCATTCTGGACACAGCTGGAGACAAACCAGTCCAGGCAGTTACTTGTTAAAGCTGTTGTTGACTGAGGTCCCGGTCCCTATAGGACGCTCGCTCTCCCTGTAGGACGCTCGCTGTCCCTGTAGGACGGTTTCAGACATAGTTGTTGGATATTTTCCAGCAGTGTGGCTCTGAAAGCCTCAGATCATCAGAAAGCATCTTCTCTGTGAAGCAGGATGTGATCAGATGAATTAAGCTCTAAAACGGTCCCAGATGTCTTTCTATGTGAAGAGGTCACCTCTGAGGACCCTGATTACCTGAGCTGTCCTCCTCTGCTCGCCCACAGACCACCAAAGAGATGATCGCCCGTTCCTGCGCCACTGTCATCACACACCCGTTCCATGGTAAGCTGTCCGCCCGCCCATAGTCCTGAACCTGAAGCGGCTAACCGCTAACCTGCCTGCCCTTCTTTCAGTGATCACTCTCAGATGTATGGTTCAGTTTATTGGCAGAGAAACCAAATACAGGTAGCGTCCAACTCCACCCATTCAGAGACGGTGATGGAGAAATAAAGCCCAGCCTCATGTCGTTTCTGTTCTGTTTTCAGCTACATGTTCGGCTCCATCATCACAGTCTACCGAGAAGAGGGAATCTGGGGCTTCTTTGCGTGAGTCTGTTAACCAGCCTGTGTGTCTGAAACGCATCATGACTGGAGAAACGCTGAACTCCATCTTTAAACAAGGAGCAGAAGCTCGATGATCCGGACTGAGCTCAGATTAGACCTCTATCCCAAACATATTAAATTAGACGGGCAGCTGAGGGATCAAACAAGAGCAGGCTATCCTGGAGACAGATGTCTGGGGGGTTCCTCCCCAGGTGTCAGACTGATAATGACCCTCTGATGTTCTGCCCGGCAGCAGAGCAGCAACATGCTTCCTGTCTGAAAGTGAGCTGAGCTTCGGCTGAAGGGTTAAAACTCGGAGGAAATAGAAAACATCCACAGTAGAGCCTGAGGGACTGTTTAGAGCCGCACCCAACTACCATGAAATGTTTCATATAGACTGCAAAGATTAAAGCCCAGATTGTTTTTCCTAGTTTCATTCAGTTTATTTCTATAGCTCCAATTCACATCATGTCATCTCAGGTCCCTTTCCAGTTCAACCATATCATCCAGTCAGATTGATTCAAAGTTTTCTATCTGATTGCATCGACTCATTGCCTCTCCAGCAATCCCTCACACTAAGCGTGCTTGTAGCGACAGTGGAGAGGAAAAACTCCCTTTGAACAGGAAGAAACCTCCAGCAGAACCAGGCTCAGTGTGAGCGGCCATCTGCTGAGGCCGACTGAGGTTCAAGGAAACAGAAGCAGACATAGAAAAAGAAGCATAGATACAAAAGGCAGCTGTCAACCAGCTCCACAGGCGGCCCCGTCCAGGAAACACACAGCCAGGCAGACGAGCTCCGAGCCAGCTCCCATGTCAGAGGATGAAGAGAGCACATCCAGTTAGTCACAGTCAGAGAAACAGGACTACACTGGAAAACAGGCCGATCTCCAGCATCTAGAAACAAAGGTGTTGATGGCAGCAGCACAGCTGATATTTCTCTCCTTGACTAGAAGCTTTATCAAAAAGGAAAGTTTTAAGTCTAGCCTTAAAAGTAGACAGGGTGTCTGCCTCACGGACTAAAACTGGTAGTTGGTTCCACAGGAGAGGAGCCTGATAACTAAAAGATCTGCCTCCCATTCTACTTTTAGAAATTCTAGGAACCAACCTGCAGATTGAGAGCGAAGTGCTCTGTTAGGAACATAAGGAACAATCAGATCTCTGATATCAGATGCAGCTTGGTCATTTAAGGCTTTATATGTGAGAAGGAGGATTTTAAATTCTATTCTGGATTTAACAGGAAGCCAATGAAGAGAAGCCAGGATAGGAGAGATATGATCTCTCTTTTTCATTTTCATCAGAACTCTGGCTGCAGCATTTTGGATCAGCTGAAGGCTTTTAACTACAGTTTTTACATAAACTCAAAGAATTGTCTTATAAACACCAATTATTAACAATTTCAAAGGAACTTAAATGGGGAAAAATAGAATATATCACTAACTGTAGTTCTGCTTTCCACCAGTAGGTGGTGACATGTTCAGATGAAGGTTCATGAACTGTGGGGGTCGTTAAAGCTATTAGCCAAACGGTTCGATGAGGCTTCATCACACTGTCACTAGCTCTTGCAAAGCATTGTGGGATATATCTGCTGGTTTAGTGAAGGTCAGCTTTGTGCATGCTAACAAGTCAGGACATGTTTGAACCGTTTAAAGCGCAGGGCTTGTTTCATCCAAACAGACGTAGATGTAGAGATGTAGATTGGTTGTTGTGACATTAAATGGTGTTTTGAACCCTCTCCTCAGTGGACTGATCCCCCGCCTGCTGGCTGACATCATTTCCTTGTGGATTTGTAACCTGCTGGCTCATGCCCTCAACAAATACGCCATTGATGACACGGTACGTAGGCTGCGGGTCAGGAAGGCTGCTGCTTCAGTCGGTCACCCATCGGATCTGTTGACCAACCTGTTGGCTCTCAGCAGCCATGTTTAAAGTGGGCCCCCAGGGGCCGCTGTCCTGCAGGTCAGCTGATTCTGATGAGTGGAGTTCAGCCTGTTAGTCAGCTGAAATCAGTTGTGCCTAAGCAGAGAAAGCTCTAGAACCTGCAGGACCTGGGCCCCCAGGGGCCACCTTTGGACATGCCTGGCTTAGAGGGTGTCTGGGAATCAGAGAAGCGGCATGCTGCAGGTTACTCATGAAGAAAACGACTTTGTTTCCTGATCCATAGCAACTAATGATGGTTGGTTGGTTTGTTTTCCAGATGAACCACAAGGGGGAGATAAAGAGCGTCTCCACGGCGCTGACCGGGGTGAGTCTGAGCAGCGTGAGCAGAATATTGTGCTGGATGAACATGGTCTGACGGTGTCCCTCCTCTCTTCCAGTTCTTGGCCAGCATGGTCACCTACCCCCTTGTTCTGGCGTCCAACCTGATGGCCGTCAATGACTGCGGGTGAGTGTGCAGCTTGGCTGTGGAAACGTCTCACACCACGTCCCCCACACTGACCTCTGTCTCTCCGTCAGGCTGGCTGGAGGCATGCCTCCGTACGCCCCCGCCTACCCCAGCTGGCTGGACTGCTTGGCCCACCTGAGGAGGGAGGTAAGAAATAACAGGAGCCTGGAGCTTTGGTCACATGGTACAGAAGAACTAAGCCAGGCTGATTTTGGTCCCTGATGGTCCAACAGCTCAGCTCTGTGATGCCGTCGGCCCCAAAAACCCAAACTGGGCCACAGCTCAGCTTCCTCCTCTACCAGTTATGACCATTGCTTCAATTAATAGTGGCTTATAGTGGCTGGGCTGAAGGAATTCTGGGTAATCCTCTCCTCAGACCCCATACAGTTCACACCTGGATCTATTCTACTACGCCCCACCAGCCCGCCACTCTGCTCCGCCCCACCTGCCCGCCCCTCTGCTCCACCCGTTCTATTCTACTACGCCCCACCCACTGGCCGTACTCCGCCAGCCCTGCTCTGCTCTATTCCAGACCGCCCGCTCAAAGCGGCGCCTACAGCCTCCGCCGTTCCTCTGCTCTGTTCCTGGAAGCTGGAGGAGAAAATGTAGAATATTATTTAAATCATAAAAGCAAAACATGCAGAAATGAACGCTTGATTTACTGACATGATGGAAAAAAAATGAGCATCCATCACATGTTCAGTTTCCAACATTTTATTTTTGCTGCTTTGTAACTAGGATCATATATTGGTTTGTTCTTTACTTCCAAACTCAGCATCTCTTCCTCCAAGCCTGCCATAGGAAGTTTCCAGACTTAAACTTTAAATCCTCTCAGTATAAAATAAATATTTAGATCCAGATGGAAATGTGCTTCCTGGTCTGTTGAAGCACCAATAGTTTGCATCCAATAACTGAATAAAACCTTCTTAGTTTTGGGAAATATGTCAGAATTATTCTCTAATTAGTAGTTACCAATCTATCGTTAACATATTTTAATTTGACAAACCGGATCTTCTCGCCGTTCTTTTTCCTGTTCGGCGCGATTGGAATAGCAGATCTCGGAGCAGAGCTAAAAATAGCTCTGCTCCGTATTTTGACGGTGACGGACAGAGAAGACGTCCATGATTGGTGACGTTGGAGGAGTAACGGAGGATGCGGAACATCTCATTGGTTACCATGACAGACGTATGTCTGCAGGACATATGCGGGCAGAGCGCTGACGGAGGATGTGGAATTCCTACTCAAGCTTTTATCTCTGATGCATTTAGATGATTCTGGCTAAAAACCCAACGATTCAGACTCGGGAAACGCTCAAATTAACCTCAGTGATTCATGAAAAATAGAAACAGTTTAAATAGACTCTGTCAATAATTAAATGTATTAATTTCTCCCTTTTTTTCCACTCATTCCTGCATTAATGCCTCATTTGCAGAACATGAAAGTTTGCGTTTTCAGAGCAGCACATTTCTAAATGGGATTAGAGCTTCCTGATAAAGTTCTGTTTTAAAGTGTCTTCTCTATAAGGATGCAGATCCATGTCTGAAATGCTTCTTCTCTTTCAGGGGAACACAGGAAGAGGCAACAGCTTGTTTTTCCGGAAGCTTCCAGCTGGAAAGAAGTACGCCGTTGACCAGAAGAGATTTTTCTGAAGTCCTGAAGGAAGCTGGAGTTAGCTGTAATAATGAGATGAATCAACCCCCCCTTGGTCCAGACTAACCCTGTTATTTTTGCACTGGTTTACTTTGGATTCTGGCTTTAGGTTCTGTCCTCCTCTGACATAAACAAGGTTAATTAAACCCCTCAGAGGTTCTGCTGAGGGGCCGTTTGGCCCCAGGCTTAAAGAACTTCATAACTCTGTGGTTTAATAATCAAGCCATTCAATTCCTCCATGTTTTCTAAAGATGATCTGATTCTGGGCTTTTCAGTCTGCATAATGTGTAAATGAGAGCTGGTTGGTTCTGACGGGCTCCCTGGGGCCCCACTTTGTAATCTTTCTTTTAAAAGCTGAACATGTCTACCTGTGTACGGATGTGAAGGAGAGCACAGCTGGAGGTGCTTGTATAAAGTTCTGATTGACCCAGATGACTCTTCTGACCTGATCTGTTCTGGTTTGGGAAACAAATAGAAGTAGACAGAGTAGAATGGCACATCCCTCAATCCTCTGGGATTTCGGCAGAATATAAATAATTCCAGGATCAGACTGAGAGGCAATAACCAAGTTAAACATCCTGCACTCTATTAGATCGGTCAGATTAGCACTCAGACATGTTCTAGAGGCCACATTGTGACCTCTGACCTCTTCATCACACCTCCACCCCATGCTTATACCCGATCTGTCCGGAAGCACGATCCGTCCTGTGCCAACCGGATAATGAGATCTAGATCCCTGAAAAACTATGCAACAACGGTACTAAAAATACTTATATACTTAAAACATTACAGAATCCATCATATTGAAAAAATGGAAGACTTTTCTGGAAGGAATGGATACGTTTCCATTCACTCCATTGTATTGCGTAACGTCCTGATGAGAGAGCCGTCACAGGAACCTTCCAAAGGCTGTTTGTCCGGGTTTGGTTCAGGTTTTCAGGAGCCAAATGCAGAGGCCAGTTCTAGTTTTGAATGGAGTTATTGCAGCTAAAAGAGGCAGGAATCCAAAAATCCAACATAAATATGCCAAATAAACCAGAAACACCAGGGAAAACATGCATGAGCATCTGCACAGGGAGAGTATTTATGGCTGAATGAACAAGACAGGACTAATGAGCTGATTGGGAGCAGGTGTGAACAGAGGATTCTAGAAGGAGCTAGAAAAAAGGAGACCAACAACAGAAAACCTAAGAACTCAAATACATCCAGAAAACACAACAAAATAGGAATGAAACCAATAAAACTAGAAAAACTACGATCAACGTGAAACTGAAAACTCAGGTTTGAATTTTTTTTTTTTTTTAAGAATATTAAATATTTACGCAAATACCAACATATTAATGTCTGGTGACTGTAAATAAACCTTTTCTATTGAAGAAGCTGAGAGGAAAACCTTTTCTATAAGCAGCGGCTGCTGCAGGAACTCATCACATCTTAATGAACATCAGTCATATTTTATTAACAGTATGGAGGAGAGTGAAACCAGCAGCGCGTCAGACAAAATAAGATGACAGCAGAAGACTTTCTGCTAATAAAACAATCCAGCCATGTTGGATTTATCTCCTGTCTGATTTTAAACATCATTTAACTGGATGATGGCGGCGCTGCCATGACTGGATCCGTTTCCGTCCCCAGGCTGCCTGGATCCTCCGGTCTATGACTTAGGGGGCGCTCCCCCAGCATCCGGAGCAGACTTGCCGCCGCCGTGCTGACTGCTGATGTGCTGAGTCATGTCCTTGCGGTTGGTTAGCGTGTGACCACACTGAGTGCAGGTGTAGCGCCCCCTGGTGTGCTCCCACAGGACTCGTCTGTGGCTGGACATTGCTGAGGGCAGAGAAGGAGCAGTTAGGTCCAGGTTTCATTCACTGTCTGCTTCCTCATCAGAGGAAATAAAACTGGAGAACATGCTAATTGCCATGGCAACAGTCAACCCCCCATCATAACAGCTGATCAGTGGCTGAGGTTCATCTTTATAGGTTGTTTGCTGAATGTAGGAAGCATTTTTTCACAGGAAGTAAAACGATCAGCTGATGGGAGGCCCTGTTGCTATGGAGACGGCCTGACCTTGATTCTTCCTCCAGACGGCGGCGGACGGAGCGTACGCCGGCGATCCTGCGGCCCTGCCCTGATTCTGGACATCAGGAGGCTCAGCAGCGGCAGGTTTGACGCCGACGGGAAGCGTAGAGTCGTCGTCCGTGACGGGAGAGGCTTCAGAAAGCGGCGGCGGCTCCTGCAGTGTGAGGATAGGAGGGCCGAGGGCGGGGGGGTCAGCGGATTCCTGAGGAGGAGAGGAGGCGGGGGCCGATCCCTCCGGCTGAGCTAGAGGAGCAGCTGACTGAGGCGAAGACTCCCACTCCAGCTGAGGGGGGGGCAGGTAGGTGGTCCTGGGGGCGGGGTTTGTAGCCACGGTGGGCGGGGCTTTGGCCCGCGGCATTTTGGAGCAGGTGTGCAGGTGAGCCAGCAGGCCTCTGTAGGAGCGGAGCTTGGTGCGGCAGCTCTCACACCTTCACAAGAGAGAGAGAGAGAGACAGCTGTGAGCGCCGCTCACAACAGCAAACATCACATGACCTGCTGCTGCTGGTGAAACTCACTGGAAGTAGATGTTGGCTTTGTAGTGATGTCTGCCGTGTTCCAGCAGCTTATGCATGCTGGGGAAGGAGGCGCTGCAGCCGCTGAAGGAGCACAGCAGCTTCTTACCTGCAGAGGGAGGCGCAGCGTGGCTTATTACGCTAACGGCTAATGCTATCAGATCTGCTGGAGATGAAGATGCTCACCAGGCAGGGACTGCATCGGGCTTTCATGGTCCTTCATGTGACTCTCCAGAGCATTTGTCTCTGAGTAAACACGCTTACATCCATGCAGGGGACACGGCAGCCTCCTGCTTCCTGACGCTGCGAGAGAAACATTCCAGCAGCAGGATGAGAGCCGATCCCTGACCTCTGTTACTCCCTGGATTACTGACGTCCTGTTGGTAGCACAGGCCGCCATATTGGTACTCCCTACTTAGACCGGTCAGAATGTAAACAATCTGTGTGCCACAGCATCGAACAATCATGATGTTCTGTTTTTCAGGGAGGCTGAAGACTTTTAAAATAAATTCATTACTTTGATCCACACTGGGTGTTCAACAGCATCAGTAGATTAACTTTAACTTAGAATAAAGAAATAGGTCCATCACATTGCAGAGTCATTATGACGTCAATGAAGTCTATAAATCATGTAATATAACATATTATACAAATAATCACAATAAAGTTAATGTTAATGGAGCAGAATAACACAGATGGATGATGGTCATGTAGTTATACATGGATTGATGACATTGTTACGGTAATTACATTTTACAGGTCTGGTAATGCATGCAAGATATATATATATATAAGTCCAGATCAAAAGTTCAAAGAGTTTTCTTTATTTCAAGACTATGAAAATCATAGATTGACACTAAAGGCATCAAAACTATGAATTAAAACACGTTGAATTATATACTTAACAAAAAAGTGTGAAACAAGTGAAAATATGTCTTATAATCCAGGTTCTTCTAAGCAGCAGATTTTGCTTTGATGATTATCATCCAGAAAATGCCAACAGTGAGCAAAGCTGCAATTAAAGCAGAAGCTGCTGCTTAGAAGAACCTGGAATATAAGACACATTTTCACTTGTTTCACACTTTTTTGTTAAGTATATACTTCCACGTGTGTTGATTTATAGTTTTCTTCATTAATTCATACTACTATATATATATATATATATATATATATATATATATATATATATATATATATATTTATATATACATCTATAGGGGTTAAATGTTTGAGTTGCTATTTTTCCCATCAATATAACCTGCAATATATTTCATGACTTTTTCAAATGAGAAATAAACCAAACCCTACAGGAACAACTGCATCATCCACTGAATAAAGAATTACTATATTAACATTTCACAGTTTTCTAACGTTAGAGCCAATATCAATGGCTGACTCAGTCAATGTCTTCCAGTCAGTCTGAGATAGCCAGACTACAGGTGCTGGTCATAAAATTAGAATATCATGAAAAAGTAGATTGATTTCAGTAATTCCATTTAAAAAGTGAAACTTGTATATTATATTCATACATTACAGACAAACTCATATATTTCAGATGTTTATTTTGTTTAATTTTGATGATTACAAATGACAACAAATGAAAATCTCAAATTCATCATATCAGAAAATTAGAATATTGTGAAAAGGTTCAAAATTGATGGCCCCTGGTGCCACACTCTAATCAGCTAATTAACTCAAACCACCTGCAAAAGCCTTTAAATGGTCTTTCAGTCTAGTTCTATAGGCTACACAATCATGGGGAAGACTGCTGACTTGACAGTTGTCCAAAAGACGACCATCGACACCTTGCACAAGGAGGGCAAGACACAAAAGGTCATCGCTAAAGAGGCTGGCTGTTCACAGAGCTCAGTGTCCAAGCACATTAATAGAGAGGCGAAGGGAAGGAAAAGATGTGGTCGAAAAAAGTGTACAAGCAAGAGAGATAACCGCACCCTGGAGAGGATTGTGAAACAAAACCCCTTCAAAAATGTGGGGGAGATTCACAAAGAGTGGACTGCAGCTGGAGTGAGTGCTTCAAGAACCACCACACACAGACGTATGAAAGACATGGGTTTCTGCTGTCGCATTCCTTGTGTCAAGCCACTCTTGAACCACAGACAGCGTCAGAAGCGTCTTGCCTGGGCTAAAGAGAAACAGGACTGGACTGCTGGTGAGTGGTCCAAAGTCATGTTCTCTGATGAAAGTAAATTTTGCATTTCCTTTGGAAATCAAGGTCCCAGAGTCTGGAGGAAAAGAAGAGAGGCACTTCATCCACGTTGCTTGAAGTCCAGTGTAAAGTTTCCACAGTCAGTGATGGTTTGGGGTGCCATGTCATCTGCTGGTGTTGGTCCATTGTGTTTTCTGAGGTCCAGGGTCAACGCAGCCACATACCAGCACACAGTGCCAAAGCTACCAGTACCTGGTTGAAGGACCATGGTATCCCTGTTCTTAATTGGCCAGCAAACTCTCCTGACCTTAACCCCATAGAAAATCTATGGGGTATTGTGAAGAAGAAGATGCAATACACCAGACCCAACAATTCAGAAGAGCTAAAAGCCACTATTAGAGCAACCTGGGCTATCATAACACCTGAGCAGTGCCACAGACTGATCGACTCCATGCCACGCCGCATTGCTGCAGTAATACAGGCCAAAGGAGGCCCAACTAAATACTGAGTGCTGTACATGCTCATACTTTTCATGTTCATACTTTTCAGTTGGCCAACATTTCTATAAATCCTTTGTTTTTATTGGTCTTCAGTAATATTCTAATTTTCTGATATGATGAATTTGAGATTTTCATTTGTTGTCATTTGTAATCATCAAAATTAAACAAAATAAACATCTGAAATATATGAGTTTGTATGTAATGTATGAATATAATATACAAGTTTCACTTTTTAAATGGAATTACTGAAATCAATCTACTTTTTCATGATATTCTAATTTTATGACCAGCACCTGTAATGTTAGTCTGCAGACTAAACTATAGGATCCATCGGCTATAGATGGATTTATTGCTTAATTCATCCACTGACTGGGAAATTACCAGTGGAACGTCTTCCCTCACTGGAAAAATGATCTAGAAATAAGTTAATACTTCTTAAATTAAGTGTATTTACCCTTTATTTAAGCAGGTAAATGAGATAGTTTGCCAATAGAATTAATATTTTTACTCTTAAAATAAGATAATTAAATAAAATGCTCTTAAAATGAGACAATGCAACTGTGTTTACTTGTTTACAGTGTAAATTGTTTTGTTCCATTGGCAAAATGTTCCTTGTTGCACTTATTTTAGGAAAATAAATGACTTATCTAGATTTTGATTGTTCCAGTGCAGAGCCAGAAAACTGCTGGTTTCTGCAGCCAGATGCTGCACAGGGAGGCATTTTACTGGGGGGAGTACCAAGATGGCGGACGCTGGCTTCACTTTATTGGGCAATCAGGAATCCAGTGAATAGAGATCAGTGGGCCCACGCTGGAGGTTATTAATAAATATGAGAATAAAATAGCAATTATAAAGTTGTAACATTAGGGGAATGAAGTCGTCATAGAGCAGATAAATAATTTCCCTCTGGGATTATTAAAGTATTTCTGATTCTGAACCTGTTTCAGACAGAAAGCTTTCAGCTCGTAGGCGTTTCCACTTTTTCTAATACTGATAATTTAATGCTGGTGTCCTAAAAGACTACACATTTCCTGTAATAGATGCTCAACATTCAGCGTTTAACGGAAGACAGAGCTTTCATAGAATACAACTTTATTCTCATTATGTTATGACTTTATTCTCCTATAAATAAAATCTCTAGCCTGTCATAAGAGACCGTTCCCAACGTTACTTTTTTATACCAATATGTGTTAAAAACCAATAAAAAACATTTGACAGTAATGATATAACAGAGTGCATGAAGAGCTGCATTTCATTACTGAGAATATTAAATCAGAATCTTTTAAACCACAGAAAATAAAACCTAAATAAATAAAATCCATAAAAAGGTCTCAGTAGCTTCATAGTTCATGTTTTTAGAGGAAAATAAAGATGTTCATATTTTTCAATGGTTCAGAGATTTCAGATATAAATGGTACCTGATCAAAATAATCAGTGATGATTTGAATCCTGTCTGTTTATGAATGAAGAGCTTTATCACTTAGATCAGATCAGATCTGTTATCATATCTCTGGAAATAGATTCAGAAAAAGTTCATTTGGTTTTGATTCCATTTAGAAAATATGATCTATTTCTATAAACAGATTCCTTTACATTTTAAAGTGTTTCTATAGCTTTTGGTTCTATAGAAAGATTCACATAGAAGCTTCTTCATTGTTCCATTTTTTTAGGGAATACAGTTTTTCCGGTTATTTAACGGAGGATTTATGGGATGATAATCTATCAGTTGTTGAGTTTTATCAATGAATTGTGTTGCTAATCCTTTAATCTAATAAATTCAGTTTGAGGATAAAAATTCTTCAAAATTGTTGATTTTTTTATCACGTGACCCTATGATCCATCAGGTGAACAACAGACCATCAGTTATTTTATTCTTTCATCTTTATCTGTCATTAATAGTAAAATATTCTACAAACATGTCCTTTATTCTTCCAAATGGGTTTTAAAGTTCATAAAAGATTTTTTTATAATCTGCAGCGGAAGTGTTTTTTTTCTCTCAGGTCATTAGCTGCTAGGCTAGCTAGCTCCCAGCTAGCAGGTTAGCTTAAACCAGAGTCAAACCGGGCTAACATGCACTACTATTATAATATCTTTAATAAAAGCTGAGGAGGAGAGAAAACAAACCTCCGTTTCCAGGCGACTCCATGACAGCAGCCATAATGTCGGAGAGAACAAAGAGGTTAGAAGACTATAATCCCAGAAGGCAATGCGGCAGCAGCTAACAACACAGCGCAGGTTAAGCTAATTCAAAGCTCCAAACTTCACCGCAAAAACAGGATTAATTTAGTTCCATCATTAATTAACCGAGACTAGCTGAGAAAGAACAACATTCAGCAGCAGCTGCTTCTTCCTCTGCTGCTGCTCAGCGACCGCTACTGCCCCCTAGCGGAGGGCCCGTTAACAGCGATGCGTGGGTGCGTGGAGCCCATATCTGTGCGCGTGTCGTTTCCAGAAAGTCATGTGACCGATCCAGGAGTTGTTGTTAACATACTAAACTGGGTTTAAAATCGTAATCTTAGTCCACAAGCATCCTCATTCATATTTTCCCCTAAATTGTAACGTTATGATAAATGTTTACATTATTTATTGGCTGCATCTAAAACTATCAAAGATATTTTCAATTTAAACATAGATATGAAATAATACAAAATAACTTCAATGATATAATTGTTCCAGGTCATCAACCATCTCAATAAAATGAATGTTAATGGAGCAGAATAATTCTGAAGAGGCAAAAGTGCTAAATTGATGATGGTCATGTAATATACATGGATGGATGACATTGTTATGGTAATTACATCTGATCATTTGAAAAAAACTATACATACATGCATATATGCACACAGCGATTTAATAACTTTATTTTTTTATATATATATATATATATGTATATATATATGTATATGTATATATATATATATATGTATATATATATGTATATGTATATATATATATGTATATGTATATATATATATATATATATATATATATATATATATATATATATATATATATATATATATATATATATATATATATATATATATATATATATATGTATGTATATATATATATATATGTATATACACTCACCGGCCACTTTATTAGGTACACCTGTCCAACTGCTCGTTAACACTTAATTTCTAAGCAGCCAATCACATGGCGGCAACTCAGTGCATTTAGGCATGTAGACATGGTCAAGACAATCTCCTGCAGTTCAAACCGAGCATCAGTATGGGGAAGAAAGGTGATTTGAGTGACTTTGAACGTGGCATGATTGTTGGTGCCAGAAGGGCTGGTCTGAGTATTTCAGAAACTGCTGATCTACTGGGATTTTCACGCACAACCATCTCTAGGGTTTACAGAGAATGGTCCGAAAAAGAAAAAACATCCAGTGAGCGGCAGTTCTGTGGGCGGAAATGCCTTGTTGATGCCAGAGGTCAGAGGAGAATGGCCAGACTGGTTCGAGCTGATAGATGGGCAACAGTGACTCAAATAACCACCCGGTACAACCAAGGTGGGCAGAAGAGCATCTCTGAACGCACAGTACGTCGACCTTTGAGGCAGATGGGCTACAGCAGCAGAAGACCACACCGGGTGCCACTCCTTTCAGCTAAGAACAGGAAACTGAGTCTACAATTTGCACAAACTCATCGAAATTGGACAATAGAAGATTGGAAAAACGTTGCCTGACCCAACTTCTGATGGCTACTTTCAGCAGGATAATGCGCCATGTCATAAAGCTGGAATCATCTCAGACTGGTTTCTTGAACATGACAATGAGTTCACTGTACTCAAATGGCCTCCACAGTCACCAGATCTCAATCCAATAGAGCATCTTTGGGATGTGGTGGAACGGGAGATTCACATCATGGATGTGCAGCCGACAAATCTGCAGCAACTGTGTGATGCCATCATGTCAATATGGACCAAACTCCCTGAGGAATGCTTCCAGCACCTTGTTGAATCTATGGCACAAAGAATTGAGGCAGTTCTGAAGGCAAAAGGGGGTCCAACCCGTTACTAGCATGGGGTACCTAATAAAGTGGCCGGTGAGTGTATATGTATATATGGGTGGTCAAATGTTTAACCGGCTTTTTTCCATCAATATAACCTGCAGGAACAGGAACGACAGCATCATCCACTTAATAAAGTATTACTACAATGACATTTCACAGTGAATTATTTTTTATTATGATTTTATGGGATTCTTTATAAATAAGATTGATCTTATTAAAAATAAGATCGTTAGCACTCCTCTATCCGCGATTGGTTTATCTCTGGAGGGTGGGGCAGCATCTGAGGTAGTCATGGAATCTGAACCGGGTTTAGACTGCTTTGATCCAGTTGAACTTTCAGAGTTAGTAAATCTATTGTCTTCATCTAAGCCTTCAATTTGGATGTTAGATCCAGTTCCAACCAGGTTATTTAAGGAGGTATTCCCTTTGATCTCCTCCTCCATTTTAGATGTGATTAATCTATCTCTGTGTGGCAATGTGGCCTTTTTTTGTCGAGTTGATTGCATGTCATTTTCTAATTTTCAGTTTTCTTTATTTTTGAACTTATTTACTTGTTAGTGTCATTTTTGTGTGTTGCATGTGTTAACTGATTTTGTTTGGAGGTCACATTACCACTCACACCTGGACACGCCCACAGCACAGGTGTTCTCCATCAGCTGAGCAGCATACAGACAGTGGTGTTGGTGATAAAAAGGCAGCTGTTTGGTTGGTGGGGAGAGACACCGGACACCGGACATGGGAAGCCGAAGCACCGATCATGGAGGGAGCCGGACAGAGCGGATGAGCAGGAAGCAGCGCAGCTTTTAAAGACTGGTTGCCGCAGCGCGTGCTGGAGCGAGGTGCGTGTTGGAGGTGACCTCACTAAGGCCAGCTACGCTGGAGAGGCCCACACTCGCTGCATGCAGGAAGGAGGATCCAGCGCTGGGGTGGACCGTGCCCTCCATCGTGCCCTCCAAGGGCGCATCCTTTAATGGACCGCGCCATTGACCCATTGACTCTGCTTCCTTTATCACCTGCATTTTTATCTATCTTTTTCCTTTTACTTATTTTTTTAGTGCACTCTGTTTTTTTAAATTTATTGAACTTTTAAACTATTAAAATTCTTAAGGCTTTGCTCACAATCGCCGCAGTCTGTTTTGTTTTATGGGTTTTTTGTTGGACGATCGCACCTCTCGAGTGCCACATCTGTTACAGGGATATGTACCTAAAGCTTTTAAGGTTGCTGGAATTAAACCTCTGCTTAAGAAACCGTCTCTTGACCCAGATGACTTGGTCAACTATAGACCTACACTATATTGCCAAAAGTATTTGCTCACCCATCCAAATTATTGGAATCAGGTGTTCCAATCACTTCCATGGCCACAGGTGTATAAATTCAAGCACCTAGGCATGCAGACTGTTTTTACAAACATTTGTGAAAGAATGGGTCGCTCTCAGGAGCTCAGTGAATTCCAGCGTGGAACTGTGATAGGATGCCACCTGTGCAACAAATCCAGTCGTGAAATTTCCTCGCTCCTAAATATTCCACAGTCAACTGTCAGCTGTATTATAAGAAAATGGAAGTGTTTGGGAACGACAGCAACTCAGCCACGAAGTGGTAGGCCACGTAAACTGACGGAGCGGGGTCAGCGGATGCTGACGCGCATAGTGCGAAGAGGTCGCCAACTTTCTGCAGAGTCAATCACTACAGACCTCCAAACTTCATGTGGCCTTCAGATTAGCTCAAGAACAGTGCGCAGAGAGCTTCATGGAATGGGTTTCCATGGTCGAGCAGCTGCATCCAAGCCATACATCACCAAGTGCAATGCAAAGCGTCGGATGCGGTGGTGTAAAGCACGCCGCCACTGGACTCTAGAGCAGTGGAGACGCGTTCTCTGGAGTGACGAATCGCGCTTCTCCATCTGGCAATCTGATGGACGGGTCTGGGTTTGGCGGTTGCCAGGAGAACGGTACTTGTCTGACTGCATTGTGCCAAGTGTAAAGTTTGGTGGAGGGGGGATTATGGTGTGGGGTTGTTTTTCAGGAGCTGGGCTTGGCCCCTTAGTTCCAGTGAAAGGAACTCTGAATGCTTCAGCATACCAAGACATTTTGGACAATTCCATGCTCCCAACTTTGTGGGAACAGTTTGGAGCTGGCCCCTTCCTCTTCCAACATGACTGTGCACCAGTGCACAAAGCAAGGTCCATAAAGACATGGATGACAGAGTCTGGTGTGGATGAACTTGACTGGCCTGCACAGAGTCCTGACCTCAACCCGATAGAACACCTTTGGGATGAATTAGAGCGGAGACTGAGAGCCAGGCCTTCTCGTCCAACATCAGTGTGCGACCTCACAAATGCGCTTCTGGAAGAATGGTCAAAAATTCCCATAAACACACTCCTAAACCTTGTGGACAGCCTTCCCAGAAGAGTTGAAGCTGTTCTAGCTGCAAAGGGTGGACCGACGTCATATTGAACCCTATGGATTAGGAACGGGATGTCACTTAAGCTCATATGTGAGTCAAGGCAGGTGAGCAAATACTTTTGGCAATATAGTGTATATCCAATCTTCCTTTCTTATCTAACTTGAGAAAGTAGTTGCCAAACAAGTGTGCGATCACTTCCACCATAATGAACTTTTTTGGAGCGTTTCAGTCTGGCTTTAGAGCTCATCATAGCACCAAGAGACCTCTGCTCATACTGGCTGGTAAAAGTTGAAGTATCAACTTGACCTCTTTACTCAAGTAAAAGTGAAAAAGTATGTGCTCCAAAAACTACTTCAAGTATAAAAGTATAAATTAACCTTTAAAAAACAGCCAGATGCCACTATATGTATTGAAAGCTCAATTTCTAAAACTTCTCTGAGATAAGGCCAAGGATGAGGGAGGTCTTGTTGGTCTCCGTCTCCCGATACGCTCTCGCCTGTGTCCGACCTTTCAGACATTTCAACATCTTTTTCTGAATCCCACATTGTAGCATGGCATAGACGATTCACGTTAGCAGTTTGAAGAACACCTGCTTGCTTCTGATGATTTCCTTTAGCTAACCAATGAGTGTTTGCGTTCTATGACTCATCCAATCACACTAGTTTTCACTAGATGTGGATGAAGCCAATGATCTGCATTGGATGGAGCACATGACGGGAAATAAATATTTAGAAACATTAAACCGAAGCCAAGAGTAAAAAGTTGTTTTGGTTAAAAAATGTTAGGAATAGAAAGTACAGATACTTGTGTGAAAATGTAATGAGTAGAAGTCAGAAGTAGGAAGAAAAATAAGTAATGGTAACAGTAACAAAGTATTTGTAACAAAGTATTTGTACTTCTTTACGTGACACCTCTGGGTAGCGGGCATTTATCTAGTGGGTCCTAATTTCAGCTTGAGGG